ACCAGCAATTAAGCACATGAATATTTGTAGGCAACGCCCTATGTGTTAACACTGATTCACAGCTTAAGGGTGGATGAGGATCTTATGTAACTCAAGATATTCGCATTCCAATTATGTTCTTTCATCCACGCTGGCATGCTTGTTATGAGAAAATGACTGCGACAATATTCTCTGATACCTATAACTAATTTAGATGTCAGATAATTGGATCTAGCGACCTCTTTATGACAATCAGTTGAAATTAATAAAATACCGTGAGACAGAACGATGAATAATACAGACTGATGAAAAGAATGACTAAACCAAATTGAATGTTGTTGCTGTTCTATCGAGGTTAGCGCTTTAAACACGATTGGCTGGAATAATGACTCACGGAATGTATGAATTTCGGGTAAAAACGAAAATTTTGTGTAGGAATTTTTATTCTTTCTCTGTTTTTTTTTTCATACAACTTGTTGATGTAATTTATGAAGACAAATTTTTCTCCGCAGTGGTCGAACAATTTTTCCTTTTCAGAACAACTTTATGGAAGACAGTGTTCAAATTGAAGAAGATCCAATTTCATCAGTGGATGATTTGGTACCGGCAGTCAGAGATCAACTGGATCTAGCTACTGGAGAAGAAGGAGACACTCAGCAACTACCAATCGTAACAAAACAACAATCAACAACCAAAACTGTCGATGCTTTACTGAAAACAGAAACCGATCCTGATGCCATTGAATCATTAGAATTAGTATTAAATAGTGTTGTCAAAGTGTTTTGTACCTCAACTCCGTGCAATTTTTATTTACCATGGTAAGATAAATAAAAGATATAATTCAAAATAAAGCGTGTCCGACTACTAATTTCTTATCTAGGCAAATGAAACGCCAAACACCTCATACTGCATCAGGTTTTATAATAAAAAATCGTTGGATTCTGTCCAATGCTCATGCAGTTTCAAATGCATCCAGTATTCGTATTCGAAAACATGGCGATGCCAAGAAATATTCTGCTCACATTGTCTATATAGCACATGAATGTGATCTCGTCATTATGACAGTTGCTGACGATCAATTTTGGCATGGATTAGAACCGTTATCGTTCAGTGATGTCATTCCTCGATTACAAGAATCAATAACAGTCGTTGGATATCCCATAGGTGGTGATAACTTATCGGTTACTAAAGGTGTGGTCTCAAGAGTGGTTATGTCGACTTACTCGCATTCACTTGAATATCTATTAACGATACAAATCGATGCGGCAATCAATCCCGGTAACAGCGGTGGACCAGCGATTCAAGGTAAACATGTTGTTGGCATGTCTTTTCAAGGTCAATCATTAGCGCAATCGATTGGTTATATCGTGCCTGTTATAGTGATCCAACATGTTTTAAATGATATTGAACTACACAAGAAATACACCGCATTTCCGATCATGAGATTTTATTACCAACCCATGGAGAATACATCCTATCGTGAATATTTGAAATTAAACGAAGATCAACATGGCATTCTAGTGACATCGATTGAAAAAGTATGTGTTCTTAGTGAAGTATTACAAGAAGATGATGTAATTACAGCTATTGATAATGTGCCAATAGCTGACGACGGAACGATTTACTTTCGTCGTGGCGAAAGACTTAATTTTCGTTATCTAGAAAAATTGAAATTTGTCGACGATACGATCACATTGAAAATTATCCGACAAGGTAAAGAATTGACATTGACGAGCTTGTTGGACAATAATCCAACACTTGTTCCACTCCATTTACATGACAAACATCCCGAATATTTGATCTATGCGGGAATTGTCTTTACAGTTCTGACTCGATTTTATCTTTATGAGTTCAGTCGACGTGATTGGCACCGAAAAGCTCCAACCAATTTAGTTAATCTTGCGTTAAATAGTCAACGCGAAGAACTTAAACAGCAGATTGTGATTATCAATCAAATCCTTGTCGACGATGTCAATCATGGAATTGCGTCGGATGTTGCAAACTGCGTGCTGACACATGTGAATGGCACGAAGATAAAGAATATACAACATTTAGCGCAGCTAATCGATGAAATATCGAATACTGAAAACACCGACAATTATATTCGATTTGAACTTGAAAATAAACGATTTATAGTCATCTCGTGTCAACGAGCGAAACAGTCAGAAGCGAGAATATTGAAACAGAACTCGATCGCACAGCCAAGAAGTGAACATTTACGTTAATCTTATTTGTGTTTTTTGTATTTGATCTGAATAAAATTTGTTTCGCTCACAAGTCTCATCTCAAATAATGATTGATGAAATCAAAAAGAAAAAAAACAACATCGTGTTAGTTTGTTTAAAATATGGCAAAGAATAAAATCAACAGTACGATGAAACTTCGATTTGCGTAATTGCGAAAACTCTTGTTCTTCGAATTACCAAACATGACTTCGATTTTCTCTTCTTCGAATTGATCGATAAGTGAACAATTACGATCTGTTGTAAGAGTTGAGAACGGATGAAATGGTGTGATCTGATAGTATCGCGGCGTTGACGGACTGTAATTCAACCAATCGCTCAACGGTTTCCCAACTGTAGCTGTACTAATCCAATGTGATATAATCCGATTTGAAAATACTCGTGTTTCAACATCCCATGTACAGTTCATCAATTCATTCGAATACATATCGCTTACTGTTCCGAATACGAACGGCAACTCTGATGCATGGAAACAAAGACCTTTCCCCTCTGCTTCAGACTTCACTGGGCATAATCCAGGATTACAATCTATATGATATAAAAATAAGTTTTCTTGAAAATTGTGTCTAAATAAAGCGTCGTGTATGCGACGAGCACTACAATCAAGAATGAAGTGAGTGAAGAATGAACGTGCTGCTTCACAACATCGATTGGTCGCATTTCGATCCGGTGAACAGTTCTTGAACTCGGGATCTTGAATAAATACTTCAGCCCATTTTTCTCCTGAAGCTTGAATGAGCATTTCTTTCACTGATGTTAAGTTCATGTCAGGATAGGTGAAACACATCGGGGATTCATATTCATTTCGACCGATAATCATACTAATATTTGGATTGTATATGCCCTTATGAATTGCCACCGGCGGATAATACTCGAGAAAATACTTGTCAACAACTACTTTTGTTTGTTGAAAACCGTAAGATGCTACAAGATCAGCAGTCGACAAATTGCGTAAGCACTGTAAAAGGCTTCTTTGATTAGTGCAATTGACTTTCTGAATTATTTTATTCGATTCGATCAACGCATCACTCGTGTTGGTATAATATCCAAAAAATCCCGCGCCACCTGATTGTGATATCACATGCTGATAAAGATTTGCCGATCCTTTCAATGCACCGATATCGATAACAGCATTTGCTCCAGAACTTTCTCCAAACAATAAAACGTTCTCCGGATTACCACCATAATCACGAATATTCACATTCACCCAACGTAAGGCGGATAACATATCAAGGTAGAAATAATTTCCCGCTGTTGGCCATCCTTGTGGATCTTCTTCAACTAAATCCTTCAAATACAGATCACCAAAGATGCTAAGCCTATAGTTGATTGTTACGACAATAACTGGTTGTTTCTCAGGCACATTAGCAATAATATTTGAGCCATTATATAGAACTGGAATGTTCTGGGATGAGCATCCAACTTGAAGACCACCACCATGAATCCAAACAAGAACTGGTAACAGGGAGTTATTTGTTATGCTCAATGGTGTGTAAATGTTCAGATATAAACATTGTTCGTCCTGTGAAGGTATAAATATTCCTGCATTCGCTTGAGGACAACATGGACCAAATAAGTTTGCTTGAAGTGATCCATTCGGAAATCTTCCAGATGCAAGATCGACTGGTGGTTTCCATCGTTCTGTTCTGGCATATTGAATTCTAATCGAAACACATCAAATTTTATATAAATCAGATCCAATGTTTGTGTCTCACCCTAAAAATTCATTGGAATGCTGAGTTTGTCGACCATAAATAGTTCCTTGTCGTGTCTGTAATTCAACATCAGCGCTGATGGTGTACAGTAATAAACAGGACACTAGGACGAATAAAGATCGTTCTACCATTCGAACTGACGTGTTAGAAATAACATTATTCGTTTATCTATATATACTGGCGTTATTTGTTCCTTCAGTCTTTCTCTCTGTGTGTTGTATATTTGCACAGAAACGAAAAGAAGGTATTTATCTATATTTTGCTTTTTATGTGTCATTCTCGTGACACAACCTAATCTTATATTAGCTGATATCAAATATATAGTTGAAATCGGTTTGCAAAGCTGCCAGCTCGTATTTATTTGGAGAACAAAACAGCGGGACACGCCTATAGGAGAAAAATAAAGACAGATACGATCAACTACTTTTTAAGAAAAATAATCGCGAGAAAATAATTGGAGTTCTGTTGTATTACAGTTACACTTTCGAGTGAATATTAACGGTTGTCATTGGAAAATGTTCGTCAAGGAATTTCCACTCTGATTTATGTGCATTGCATGACCAATCTCAATTTGTAACTATAAAACAAAAAGAAATTAATATACAAGCATTTGACTAGAACGCAAAAATTCAAATTGATAAAAGTAAAATAATTCACACAGAAATATGTTTTAAAAGATGAACGACCCATAACCAAAGGAGTCCTATAAACCCGTGTGGCTATTCACCATCTAGTCGGTATGGGATATTTTGTAAGATATTTCATCGACTCTGCATCAACTGTTTCGTTAAGTCGGCGTGCGCGTCGACCAGCTGCCCATCTCAATATAATTCCACCAAAAATAAGCGTAAAAGATTCCATGGCACTATCAACTCTAATTAACACAATGAATACCGTAAAACTTGCAAGCTTTATTGATATTAAACCAACTATGGATACCGCAAGTCCAACCAATGAAAGAATGGAAAAAATAAAGTCATGAATTTTTCAGCCAAAGTTCCTCTAAGTGCATCATTGGTATTATCTACTGGCTGACAAAATTCCTCTGGATGCATAGTCCTAGTCAATTCCGAAGGGAAATGCGAAGCGAATCTTCTGCTTCGACAACATGCTGTAGAACAAACAAAAATACATCGAGTGTATATAACACGCTAAATAAAGTTCACTTTTTCTTCTGCGGTATCAAAACACTTGTATGTGAAGTAAAGAATCCCAACACGCGGCACCTAGATCCAAAACGTATGAAAGAATGCATATAAAGTATTCATAAATAAGCATTTATTGTTTAGTTCAAAACTACCGATATTGCGAAATATTTTGCTTGTTTAGGCGTGATTTTAATCAGAATTAATGAGGTCGGAATAAGCATAATTACATGACTTATGGCTACGTTGATCTTCTGAATGCATGTCTTGAGAATAATTAAAGGTAATTTCGTAAGTGCTATGGTAAACAACATCAATATTTTCGATACAGGAACAGTAGAAAAAGTCAAAAGCAACATGATTTTATCTATATAGGAAAACGAAAAAATGACCAGACAGTGTTGTATGATATCAGCGTATATGATGAAATGTTCCAAATACAAGAACCATCTGTATTTTTGCATCGTTCTACATTTCTAAATCGAATCATAGATAAACATACATTGAGTATTGATTTTATTGACCTTAGATAGTTTCTCACCGGATATGTAGTTCAACGTCGACGCTAATGATCACAAACATTACATCGTCATGCAAAATAGTACGTCACAAATCTCATCATCTGCTCTTTCATGTTCGCTTTTTCTTGTCATTTGGACTGGAGAATATCAAATACACGCTCAAAGTGTATACTTTACATGTATTATCAGAAAATTAATTGTTCCTGAATTGTGTCGATGAAAAATATATGATGATAGAATTGGTAGTAGAAAAACACGATGTCAGAATCTCTTTTAACAGTTTTTACGCAAGAGAATTCGTCGTGGGAAAACCTCGATGAGGCTAAGAATTGTACGATGCTAGTTCGTGTATATTCTAGTTTGATTTTAATGTGCCCCTCGATGTACCGGTTGAATTGGTGCACCAATGTGAATCTTTATCTAAAGTAAAAGAATTCGTTCTAGTTCCTATATTTTCCTACCTAACGTCAACATAGTACCACTATGTATAAGTGGTATTAACAGTAATAAGATACTTACATAGTAAACTGTATAGACTGATGCACCGTCTCCGCTGTTATCTACATAATTGTATGAAGCTAGTTGCCATGTAGTAGGAACAGGCTGTCTTGATGCATATTTCATTGACTCCGCATCAACAGCTCGTTTGACCCGACGTATTCGTGCCATACTCATCCATTTGAATACGCACAAACTAATACACAGAAAAACCACAGTAATCGCACCACCACTTGCAAGTAATGCAATTCCTGCTGGCAGAATTGCTTTTGAGGTTAATATTATACCTGCAATCAATAGCGCAGCTCCAAGCAGGTAGATCATTATAAACAAAAACGTGATAATCTTTTCGATAAAAGTTCGTCTCCGTGTGTAGTTGATATTGTCCATTGATTGGAAGAATTCATCTGGGTGAATAATTCCAGCTAACTTAGCAGGAAAGTCAGAATTAAATTGTGTGCTTCGGCAGCATTCTGTAAACGAAATAAAGATAAGGCATGTATGGCACTTGACTTCGTGATGGAAGAAATTTCGACTCACGTTTATATTCCTGTATAATTACAGCGTTTCCCGCAGCGAATGATCCCAACATAAGTTTTGTTTTCGGTAAAAAAAATGAAAATGATCGCAAACAAGTAAATGTATTTATAGTGTAAAATATATATATTGCATGAATCACTAGTAACTATTGGTGTACCGAGCACAAGGTGAACGCATGTCAAAACATAATTTGTTTACATTTTACCTTACATTAGTCGATAGTTACCGTAGAAGTAGAACACGTCAGGATGACTAACGATAATATGCGACTGTAAAATTTTTCTAGATCGAATGTGCTTTTCTCTGTTTTTGGTGAATGCATACGGTTTACAATGAAAACGTCGAAAGAAAAAATGTTGAAAAAAAATCGAAAAATACGTGGAAAGTGGCACTATTTTTCGGCAAGTTTTCTTTCGACGTTTTCATTGTAAACCGACTGCAAACTTAACAGCCACGCAGTAGCCCTAAATCTATATTTCACTTTATCGTCCCTGCAGCAGTACTACAGCGCTATAGTGGTACAAGGGTATAGTTTAGCAGCAAAGGCTGAAAATATCTTATATCTATGCTGAGGCGACGAATTTGTAACAAATTATTTTGTTTTTGAAAGAAAATGATTTTGCTACAAATTCTTATTCTATCCATCGTATGAGTATCGTAGTCAAAAGGAAGAATTGATGTTCACTTCTATCTTTCCATTTGTTTTTATCGCCTGAGCGATGGTTGAACTCAGTTGCAGGATCAAAAAATTCGGAAAATACGAAAGAAAATTGCCAATTTTCTTCATATCCGATTGATCGAATCCACATGAAATAAACGTAGAACAAAGTTTCATTACACTTCTATACATCTCTTCATTCTTCGCTCCGAATTTGCATATTACACAAAAATGGAGTTGACAACGAAGTTTTCGAAACAAACAGTAACGGTGGTTTTTTATACACTGTATATAGTCGATGGGAATCAACGTAAATTTGAAGTTTTGTCCTCATGTAGTAATCGTCGATTATGCTTGACACACGAGAATAATCCTCGAAAAGGTTCATTCGTTGGATAATGTTTGCGACATTTTTACATAGAGCAGTCAAAAAGTTTTGGCAAAAGGTGTCTGAAATTTTATCCGAACGATTTCTTTTCTTGCTGTTGGTTTGTTTTTCAATTGACATTTGTCGTGTATTAAAATACCAAAAAGAAGCTTTTCTCGTGTTCGTTGTAATTAATTTATAATTAATTTTTGAACAGCTCTATTTTCAATGGATAAACTGTATATTCAGTCTCACATAAAAACTTGCATTTTCTTAGGCTGAAAGACGCTTCAAATGTACGATTAATTAGTTACTGTTTCTAGATCAAATGTTCATTCATGTAGTATAGTTGCTCAATGGGTTCAATGATTTTCAAGAGAATAGCAGTCTTTGGAAGATAATCCTCAAACTAGTCGTCCGGTAACAACCAATACTCAACAGAAAAGTGAGGCTCTCGTTTTAGATATTAGTTAAAAATTTGCATACGAACAGAAACATAAACAAAAAATAGTGCAAATGTTTATCGAAAAATGCAGCATTACACACATCAATGACATTGATCTTGATTTTAACTGTCTCTAAGAGAAAAAAAATCTAAGTTATCGTTCGTCCATTATAAGTGTCTAGTTTTGATCTTACACACCTTTGATTGCTCAAATATCCAGATCCTACAAGTTTAGCTGCAGCAATGACAAAGGTGCTCAATCTTTCCAAAATATATAGATTCAAAGAATGAATTCGCTCCATGTGATATTCGTGATATTTAGACGTCGAAGTCAGGTTTTGTAATAAAGCTATGCTAAGTTAAGGAAGAAGAAGGATGTTGCGTTTGAATTTTATGCGATGAATTTCATCTTCATGTAAGAAATAAATTCGTCCGCCAGATACACACTGAAGTGGTGCAACGATATCATTTGGAAACGACGTTCCTACCTGACAGAGTGATAGACTAAATTGCTATTGCGAAAGTTTTCTCAACCGATAGTTACAGATTTTTGCATAACAGAACTAATTCATTGTAACATTCATTCATATTATCTAACGACCGGCCAGATTCTTCGGGATGCATGCGTACATCGATTGTATCCAACACGTAAAATAAAGCTCACCTCTCTGCTGTGGTATCAAAATACTTGTTTGAGGAGTAAAGGATTCCAACATGCGGCACCCAGATCCAAACTACCGATATTTCGAAATATTTTGCTCATTTGGACACGGTTTTAAATAGAACATAATTACATTGTGAGTAATTAAAGGTAATTTCGTAAGTGCTATGGTAAACAACATCGATATTTTCGATACAGGAACAGCAAAAAACGTCAGAAGCAGCGTGCTTTTATTCATACAAAAATAATATCAGACACAGCTGCATGATATCAGCGTATATCATAAAGCGTTTCAGATACAAGAGCAATCTGTATTCTTCATCGTTCGTTTTTTGTCATTTGATTTGGAGAATATGAAATACACGCTCAAAGTGTATACTTTACATGTATTATCGACAAATTAACTTTTTCTAGATTATCTTAACGAAAAATACATGATAACGAAAATGGTAGTACAAAAAAAGGCGATGTCAGAATCGCTTCTAACAGTTTTTGCGCAAGAGAATTCGTCGTCAGAAAAGGTCAATCAGGTTAAGGAATGTACGATACTGGTTCGTATATATCCCAGTTTGATCTCAATGGATCTTCTCGATGTACTGGTTGAGTTGGTGCGCCAATGTGAATCTTTAGCTAAAATAGAAGAATTCACTCTAGTTTCTATATTTGGCTATACTTAACCACAACACAGTATCACAATGTATAACTGGTATTAACGATAATAGGATACTTACAAAGAAAGTTGTACTGGACGTTGGACCGTCGTCACTGGCATAACTTCGAACTGTGACTGAATCTAGTTCCCATCTGGTAGGAACAGGCTGTCTTGATGCATATTTCATTGATTCCGCAGCAATAGCTTGTTTCATCCGACCAAATCGTGCTGTAAATGTCCATATGCCAACGCAAACAATAGCGAAGGTAGAAATCCCAAAAAGCGCACCACCAGTTGCGAGCAATACAATTCCCGCTGGAATGCTTACGATCGACAGTAATACCATACCTACAATCGTTAACACCAATCCAAGCATGACGAATATTATAGGCAGAGATTCGATGATCTTTTCGATAAAAGTTCGTCTCCGTGCGTAGTTGATATTATCTATTGATTGAAAGAATTCGTCTGGATGAATAATTCCAGCTAACGCGGGAGGAAAGTCAGAATTAAATTGTTTGCTTCGGCAGCATCCTGTAAATGAGAAATAAGGATATACATGTACGACAGTTGACTTGGTGAGGAAAAAAATTTCAACTCACGTTTATGTTCGTGTATAATCACAGTCTTTCCCGCAGCGAATGATCCCAACATAAGTTTTGTTTTTCGTAGAAAAAAATGAAAATGATCGTAAACAAGTAAGTGTATTTATAGTGCAATATAAGTGTATACTCCATGAATCATTATTAGATCGATGATGTTCCGAATGTCAGGGAAGTGTGTGTCAACACATCACTTGTTTATATTTTGTCTTCAATTGGTAAATATCGATCATGAAGGTAGACAGTATGTAAATTACTTCGTGATATTTAAAAAAAAAGTGTCACTTCCTCGTTGATACTTTGCTATTATGAATTCCATAGTACGTTCAGTCTGATCACTGATTCAACAGCTAATCAAACACATATATACTGTACATTTCCAAATATTTCAGTTTTGAACATATCTCATTTAAATAAACGCAAAGTGCTGTGTGTTGATACCTGGTACAGGACTAAAACTGATTGGAGATTTCTTCATACAGTTTATTGTTCCCAGAGAAAAAAGGGTTAACAATTAAAATCAATACAAAGATGTTCACGCACAAGTGCAGTAGAACACATATAGAACTACAAGATAGAAAGAGAAATGAAAAAGAAAAAAGAAGATGAAATACAAATCTAGAAACTGGAAAGAATTACATCACATAATAGCTAGAATATGCTTCTT